ACTAACAGAAGTACTGGGAGCATAAGCTTTCGTGGGTCAGAACCTCACTTGCATCTGAAGAAGGAAGTATTTTTTCACACAATGTACAGTCAACCTGTGGAACTCCTTGCCAGAGGATGTTGTGAAGGCCAAGACTGTAACAGGGTTCAAAAATGAACTAGATAAGTTCATGGAGGATAGGTCCATCAATGGCTATTGGTCAGGGATGGTGTCCCTAGCCTCTGTTTGCCGGAAACTGGGAATGGGCAACAGGGAATAGATCACTTGATGATTACCTGTTCTGTTCATTCCCTCTGGGGAACCTGGCATTGGCCACTGTCGGAAGACAGGATACTAGGCTAGATGGATCTTTGGTCTGACCCTGTATCGCCGTTCTTATGGTCTTATGCCATTAGTTGCCTATACCGTTCTTGTAATATCCCTAATTTCCCCCTGTTCTATGAGTGGGACACTCCTCATGTTGCTTCTGAACTTGAGTTCCAGGAGTCAGACCTAAGGTTATAGTATTTTGATGAAAACCTTAAGCATTTTTCCGTGGTTGACAGTGCTGTTAGTAGCTTCCTGGGTTGATTGGTTCTACAGCATAGAACAGTTTGCGTGAAGTAATTGAAGGTTTTCAGATTTGAATGTTATAATCCTTTTCCTGGGATATATTGATGTAAGGAACTAATAAAGGTGCATCCTTGTGTGGATGACTATAAACTTGTTTGTAGTAGTGAGTTAACATTTGCTTTCTTGTGCTGGAGTAAGGATTACATAAGAACACAAGAACATAAGGGTAGCCCTATGGATCAGGCCAATGGTCCATCTAGCCCAGTATCCTGTCTCTGACAGCAGCCAATATTAGAGCTTTAGGGAGAGTGTACAGAATAGGGCAGTTTTGCAGTGATCCATCTCTGTCTTCCACACCTGGCTTCTGGCAGTCAAAGGGTTAAGGTTGACCCTACCATGGGATCGCATCCCTGACCATCTTGGCTACTAGTCATTGACAGACCTATCCTCCCTTAACTTTTTTTTAAATATATTGTATCTATTTTGCAACTTATGTATAAAGCAGGCAACTAATCGGATATCGAAGATTAATGCTTAGCATTAAAAAGGCTTGCACTGATGTGCTTGTCACTTTGAGTTGTTGCATAGTCTAGTTCACCCAGCTCACCTGCTCCGTGCACGTAGAGAGACAGAGAATATATAAAGATGCATATTTGACATTTTATTGTTGCTTTCTTGAGACTTATAGCAGTGAAATTATATCTCAGGAAAAAAACATGGCAAAGGAGTTTATACATAGACTATTCTGATGTCTGTTTGTTCAGTAGACGTCACAAATTTTTTCCCATAAATAAAGGAATGCCTGCTATCATGGAGACTCCAGAGAATTACTTGATTTTTCTTTTTCTGCCTGTCTCTTGCACAGTCTTCAGTAGACACAGAACCAAGCCACACATTTCAGGTGTTGATTTTGAACATCCCTGAGTTTGGGGGAGTTCGGATCAGGGAGTTTGGTTCATGCCCATCTTTAGGTTTTTAAAGTAATTGTATTCTGGCTTCTGTTAAATAACTTCCTAGTTTGTGCTCATTAACTGTGGCAGTCTCTAAGAATTGCTCATCTTGTAGTAAAGATGTTTGATAGCACTAAATCTGGAACATACTGTTTCTTGCAATCTTTTGGTAGTCTGTTACATGTATTTAGTCTCCATGCACTTGTGTCTTGTATAAATTTAAATTGAGAAATGTGAACTATCTTGGGTACTTTTGTAGTGTACAGCACAGTGACATGGGATATGCTTTCTAGGTATCTTCTTTGTCAGAGAGTGAGGATTCTCAGGATTCATCAGATAGCATAGGCTCTTCGCAGAAGACCCGAGGTATCTTAGCACGGCGACCGTCTTACCGGTGAGTATATTTGTGACATTCCCCAGGGTACAATCTGGACTTCCAAACAGCTGTGCCCTCTTAACTCTCTAACCTGGGATGCCTCTTACACTGCTTTGCTGGTGCACAACTACTTCAGGTTCTGCCCACATGCAGCCTCCTGCGTGTAACTTGATCCCAACTACACAGTATTGAGTGCTATTACTAGCCACTCATAAATTACTTACAAGGAGACACCTGCATATCCCCAGTCCCAGCCTTGTTCCTCAGAGATGTGTGTCTTACGCTGCTCAGTATTCTCCTGGACAGTGTAAACTCATAGTATGTCTGTCATTCCAACACTGGGTAATGATTATGCACCAGCCTTGTTATCCTAAGTAGAGATTCCCAAACACTTCAATTCAAACACACTTGTTTAGATAAAACAATAAAACAAGTTTATTAAATAGAGAAAGATACATGCTAAGAGATTTCAAGTGATAAGTCATAAAAGTCAGAATTGGTTACAAAAGAAATAAAAAGATAAAACTGTAAGCTAATACCTAAATGAAGAGAGGGGTGATGTGGCGGTCATTGTCTCTTATTTTTATACCCTCCTCTTCTCTTTGAGGATTACCTCCCTGCCGGGGTGTAGGCAGACAGTCCCCTGCATATGTGAGATTCGAACCATCTCTGGGATGAAATGTAAATGTCTTGTTTATAACTTCTCCCCTGCTGGTGGATGCCCAATTAAGCCGGTAATGCCCTTAGGCACGTTGCTACCATGCTAGTGTGTCTTCGTCTCAGATAAATTGGTTTGTGGGTATTACCTAGAACTACAACATATTTCAGTAACAATCATTTAGCAAAATCTCAAAATTGTACATGCAGTGATGTTACACACATTTCAACAGGATAATAATATTCAGCAGATTATGAGTTTTCAAATGATACCTCACAAGGCATACTTTGTTCAAAATATATCATAACCATATAAAAGTGGTGAACATGGGGTACAGGGTGTCTCAACCTTACAAACATTTATACTGTATTTTTTATTAGAAGCTTTTAAAAACACTAACAAAAATCACAGCTTCCATTAGTTATCTCCATATATTTCATCAGCCTTCTGAATTATTTTTTTATTCCCCTAAAATATGTATTGTATCTGCTTATAAAAAAGTTATTTCTGCTTTTGGTGATACACAATAAACTGAAGCAACTATTTAGATTTTATTTTTCCATAATGAAGAATTTTAAATGAAAGCTGATAGCAAAACCAATGTTTTTTAACAGACTGGGCTAAATTCACTGCTGGTGTAAGATAATAATTATTATATAACATCTCTATGTGTTTGCTGTTGAAGCACAGATGTTTAGTGAGTTTAATTCTGTTGTGTGGAATCAGCTAAAAACCTGATTTTTTGAAGCCAGTGTTCAACCAAAGCTCTCATTGACTATAAGGGGAGTTTTGCTTAAATAAGGACTGCAGGATCAGACTCCAGGATGATATTGTGTAGTGAAAAGTTGTTTTATCACTTTAACCATACTAGTTATTGCTATTTTATTGAAAAGAGGAACTGAGTAAAACACTGTTATGTTTTCAAATGACATACAGGATAAATTCCAGTTATGTGAATTCCAGTTATCCAAAAAGTCTAGTTATCCAATTCCACAGTATAGCCCTATTTTAGTTAATAGCACTTCCTTTTATCTGAATGCTTGGTTATTTCCAAGGTTCTGATGTTACCTATGCCATCTGGCTAAATGGGAGTGTTCTGTACTTTTCAAAGTGATAAACCAAGAAATAAAAGCATAATGCGTATTAAACTTTTATAGTTTTTACTTGGATATTCTGAAAAGAATTACAAATTAAAGCTTGCGAAGTTACCCCAAGGTCCCAAGGAGTGGCAGTTATTCCTACCTCCACCGGTGCTTATCATTTTTATTTTTTTACCCCCATTCTCTCTTCTATTTTCCTCTTAAATTAAATACCAAAATAAACTGTTTACATTAAACTATTTTTTTTTCAGTTCCGCACACAAAAAAGTCAGAGTGAAAAAAGAATGGTCAACAATTCTCACTCAAAGAACACTTTATGGGAAAATACTAGTTGTGCACATAATTTAGGTGGAAACGATACATAGCAGTGAGAGCATGGGATTGGAAGTCAAGAATTCTGCTTTCCTGTTGGACGGCCGCTAACTCGTTATGTGACCTTGGACAAGATGTATAAACTCTCTGTGCCTCCATTTCTTCTTCTGTTAAATGGGGAGCTTTTATTCTCATAGGGTATTGTGAGCTATATAGTGCACTAGGCGTTTGAAGAGCTGTACAAGAGTTAAGTATTTTTATTAAAGAGTTTTGAGATCCTTGGATGAAATGCACTATATAAGTGAAAAGTATTATTTTGTATCACAGAGCAAAAAAACTTAACTAATGAATAAAAAAAAATTCCTAAAGCATCCCACTTATTTCCACTTTATTCTAACAATAACAAAAATTGACAAATTGATTTTGATTAGCGTTAGAGAGAGAGAGAGATAAATCCACAGTTATTGCGTGAATCAGAGCATGAGGTTTTAAACTAGGGAGAACACTAACAGGCAAGTTATAAACCCCTGGAAAATATTTAAGATGGAAACTCTGATGCACCCGTTACTGAAGTGATGCAGCTGTACTGCTAGAAACAATACAGAAAATCTGACATATGCACAAGTGCGTTTTATTTTGTCAAGGCTGATTGGAAAGAAAAAAATTGCTTGAACTACTTTAAAACATCTATGTATGGGTTTGGGTTTCCAGCACAGTGTTTTACTACAGGTGATTACAATGTATTGTAAGTTATGAAAATTGTCACTACAGAGGGATTATTTCTAAAATATTTAAGGTTTTTAGAAGACAGTGATTGAAATCTTACATTGCACTTGCATATGCAAGTGGTTTAATACTGAATTACTCTTTGACTGTAAGTAAAGTGGTTCAGATTTTTGAATGAGGAACAAGAAATAAACTCTTGACTACAGAAATACGATTACTTGAAGAAGTTTAGAGAGAAGAATTCCTATATGCAATTTTTATTTCAAACTTTGCCTGCTTATTTACAGTCTTTATTATAAAAGCATGATAGTACTATTGATAATGTATTGATATTTTGTTGACTATATCTGCTAAGAATTATTGAGAACATATGTTTAGTAGATATTGGCTTCTCTTAACGTAAGCATCAGGATTTCTTGATCCCAGAATTATATTGTCTGAAGCGAAGCCAATAATTACCCTGAACCACAACAAATTTTGATATTTATTTAAATATTAAGTCAATATGTGTTTGGTTAAATATAGTCACCAAAATGCCTAGAAATCTCTTAATTAAGGGCATTAATTTTTTAAAAAGTTAGACAAACAGAAAAGTAGCTATTAATGTTTGATGATTCAGTCAGGAAGCAGAGATGAGTACATGCTTTCTGATTGGCTCTTCCATGGTAAACAATATTAGTTTTGACTGTACACAGCTGCAGCCAGTAAAGGGGTGTGTGTGTGTGTGTGTGTGTGTGTGTGTGTGTGTGTGTGTGTATATATATATATATAT